TTAGTCTCTGTAAATATTGAACAGCTGTTGTCTGTTCAAGATGTTGCCAGAATTATGGCATTAATGGCTCCACAATTCTCTGAATTCCTTAGATGAGAGGTGCTATGCAATTGAAATGCATTATTGTAATTGTAATCATCATTATTAACCTTGGATGGTACCTTGTGTTTGAAAGTGCTTGGTAACCATTTTTATTAGTCATTATTAACATATTTTTTAGAGTGCACTTCAGACTGATTAATCATATTTCTGACCTGACTATTCAATTTATGTTCAGGATTTGCCTGTATGTTCAGTTACAATTTATTGTTTTAAGCCTTCCATTTACTTTCTAGACCCAGAGATTTTCAAAAGTTATCTCTGAGATCAAAGTACTTTCAAGTAATTCCATTTTGTTCTTTAATGGATTTTTGAAGATAGAGTTATTATTTTTACATGAAGCAATGGTCCTTTAGAGGTTATACACTTCTGTTTGTGAAGAAAATTACCAAATTGTATTCGCATTTTATTCATATCTTTCAAATTCCTTGACTTTTTTGCTATCCTTAAGGTGGTAGATCTAGTTTATTCATTTATTCTTAAGTCCTTGATTATTGCTTTTACACAGTCAAAAAATAAAAGATCTTATCTTTGGTGTAAAAGAGTGGGTGTGATTCCTAAACCCACCATTACCTGACCGTGCTCTGTTAATCAGCCTTGATGGGTCTCAGCTTTCTTATTGATAAAAAAGAGAAAATCTTTGCTTCATAATTTGTTTTGATTATTTAAGGAAGTATCCATTATAAATTACTGTTACACTATCTAACACATGATAAACGCTTAATAATTAGTGCAAAAACAATTTATCATATTTATAGTTTTTTCGTCCAAATTTGTGATACGGTGATCTTTCTACACTGAAAATGTGAGAATATCACTTTTATTAATTAAAACTAATAAATACCATTTCTTTTTTGTATACTACAGAAGGTCTCTGTGGTCTTATGTGAAACTCATATCCCACCATTTCTGCACGTAGTCACTTATTTCCAAAGGATTCTGAACTATATGGAACTAAATAATACCAGCAACCCTCTTGAGCAGTCACCCATTTTCCTAAGCACTAAATATCTTGTAAAAGCTTTACATGCCAGGTGTACAGAACTGACAAAATGTCCCTTGCAAAACCCTATTTATCCAGCAAAGTTTAACTTAAATATCATCCTTCAGCAATGGCTTTCCCTGGTCATTTCTTTCTTCATTGTGCTCTCATGGCAATTTAACTCCTTTTCAGCCCTTGAATTTCTTTGAATATGTGTCTCTCTTCTCCTTTCCCACTCTCTTCCCTTGACTAGAGCTCCTCAATGACAATATTATGTCAAACTTAATTCACCAAATGAAGATGCTGTCGATACCTAAGTTTCTCAGAATTTATCTAAAGGGTATAATTTAAATATCATCACTAGTCTCCAATTGTCTCAAAATATCTGTTTTATCATCATGAGATGATGGTAGTTTTTTTCTATGTTACCTAGAATTTCTAATAATGACCCTACTAACAACAATGAGGGTATTTTCTTATTAGGACCATGCTTAAAAATGTTCTACATGGTGTTGAAAGATCTATTTTATTTTTTACTTTTTTTCCAGTCACAAATTAGTTTATCAGATTAGCTAATTGTGACCTTAGAAGATGTAGAGAAATTTTCTATTTGGAACAAGTTATAGAGCAAATAATTATTTAATTGGGGGTAAAGAACTATAAGAGGAAATACACTGTGTACAGCAAGCTGAAGGACTCCTCAGGGCTGTGGGTCAATGTTTATAAAAAGCTCATGTTTTTATATTACATAGTGAGTTTTCACTATGTACAGCATAGTGATTACAAGCATGGGCTTTGGAGTAAACTAGTCTAGATTAAATTTCCATGTCTAATGTTTACTAGACCTGTAACTTGAGACAATGTAACTAACATATGATTGTCAGTTTTCTCACCTACAATGTGTGTGTAAAAAGACATCATTCTTATATAATTGTTGTGAGAGTTAAATAAGATGTGCAAAGTATTCACCACAGAGGCAGGCACATGGTAAGAGTTCAATCATAGTAGGTATAAGTAATAATATAATTATTCTTATCTCTCCATGAAAAATTTATAAAGCCAGTGTGATTCCTTACAGGTAATGATATCAAATCTCAAGAAATGTTAATGACTTGCCGATAACATAAAGCTGATATTAATTGAAGAACGTACGATTCAAAAGTAAGCTTTCTGGTTCTCTCTACTGTACTCCCTACAAAACCCCATGTTGCTTCTAGCTTGTGAAAGTCTGAGGCAAGGGATGGATGATCATTAGTAGGTTCCCAAGGCCAAGCATCTGAAAAGAGAAGAAAGGAAAGAATAACTCTAAAACAAAGTAAATGTTTCCTGGATGTGCCCTTTCTGGTATTATCTAAACACTGATACAACCTAAAAAACACCAATTGTAGGGAAAAATGTGGAAAGACAAAAAAAAAATTAAGTTAATTTTTTCTAATAATTTATGTGTCAGTTAAGAAATAACAAAGCTCAAATAATGTATTAATAGAGTAAATTCAAACTGCAGAGGTAGCATCCCTGAAACTGCTCCTATAAATTGAATAAAAAATTTTGAGTTGACATATAATAAAAGATTTTATGAAAAAAAAATTTTAACCAAATTTCCAAACTGTTATAGGAAAAGAGGAAACAATAAGGGAGAATATTCTAAGGAATGTGACTTTTCTTCCACTTTCTTTTTTACCTTGGGTCATTACCATTTTCCTTCCAATCATCTATCTTTATTCACATACTGTCATTTTTCACAGTTGCTTCTTAAGTCCTAGCAACACATATCCTATTCATTTTATTTTCTTAGCTATGAAGACAGGTGATAAAATCCTTTCAGAAATGGCCAGATCACTCTTTTCAAAAAGAACCAATTACAACAGTCACTTTCAATACACTAGCTAAATACATTTATTGATACTACAGTGTAACAAGAATATTTTGTAGGTGTATAGGTTTCCATTTCAGCTGAGAACATTTAGGCACT